TCTGTAACGTTTTTATACATAGAAATATATATTCAATAACGTATTCCATTTCAAATCCGGCGCCCGCAGTTCAAATCCGCAGTAAGAAACACATGAATATTAGTCTAGGTCATGTGACGTCACAGCCCCCTGTTGAAACACGCCATTATGTAAACATAGTGCGTGTGGTGTATAAGATGGAGACAGAAAGCGATAATTTCAATGATTCTAGTGATTACCCAGATGATGATGATATTTATAGTGATTTACCAGTTGGATATAGGTTTGAGCCTGAATATACACAAGAAGAAATTGAGGAGAATCGTCTGAAAAAGCAACGCGAAGAGTCGGCACAAACTTCTCAAGAATCAGAACAGTCACAACATGGCGGAATGGAAGCTTCGGTACCAGATAGGACTGTAGACAAATACTGGTGTTCTTGTAGTGTTTGTGAATTAATGAGTACGACACCTGAATGTATATGCTGCCATGAGAACGAGAAGATCAGGGTTATTGTAGACCAGTTCGACGCTAGACCAGGTGAGGCATGCGAGTACACTGATCACCGGGCTTATCACGCTCGGTCAGAATCACATATGTATCTGTACATGTACAAACATCTCTACGCAAGTCATGTACATATACCGTGAATGCATTTTCCACACAGGTAATATGTATGTACATGAATATAAGTACATTTACAGGCTACATGTTTGTTGTATGCTGTAACAATACTTTCACCTAGCGTAACATATACTAGCGTGTTAGCACTGTTACGCTATATAATGGCGCGTTCCAACGGGGGGCTGTGACGTCACATGACCTAGATTAATATTCATGTGTTTCTTACAAATTGGGCGCCGGATTTGAAATGGAATACGTTATTGAATGTATTTCTATGTATAAAAACGTTACAGAAGTTATAAAATTTGACTTCAATTGTCCTTTAATTTTAATGTACATCGTCACGCGCCAAGCATTCACTACACAATATCCAGTGCACACACACACCCCCCACTCGCTGGCCTGTCTCTATCTATACTATGATACTATATATGGATTTTTTTTTATTCATGGTACGATCTCACAATGGATTGTACCATTCGAAAGCTATGCATTTTCTGATTCGTGGGGAGCTCAACAGTGGAGACGCCAGGAATCTACATATTTCCACCAGAGAATAAGACGAAAAAACATTGTTTATCAAGAGGCTTTGAAATGAAAAGTGCAACCCATTCGTACATGCTGTTATAATAACTTTTTGTCATTTACGCCATATTACTATTATGTTCCAGGGGTTCTAAGTGGGGTTGTGCTGTCATATAAATGTCATACGTAACATTTTTTTTTTACCATGCTTATTATCTTATTAGACTGATTTGTAAATATTGATATTGTGTGCAATGTTATCGTCGATTTTTACCCAATGTTCCTATTGTGTCCAATTATTAGTAGTGTGAATTAGTAGCACGATTTTACCTAGCGCAGCGGGTACCCGCAGCTAGTATATATATAATCGAAATGACATCGGAATTCGTCGAAAGGGTTACTATAGAACGCGCAGTAGAGGCGCTATAATAATCATTAACAACATCAGCTGACTAATATTAGTTTGGAATCGATGTCATGTCGGCTGGCGGACAAGGCGCCACGCTGCTCATTATAGACGATATTTTCTTAGCTCGCTGGAGCTATTGTCGCCATGGCGGTGTGCGGCCTCCTAATCAGGCTATAACCAAGCAACGCGGCAGCAGCGCGTAATCAACGACCTCCAGCCGTGAGCGTATTAGCCGATTGCTTACCGCGCACGTCAGCAGCCTAACAACGCAACCTCGGCGAAGAAAAAACTAACTTCAAAAGCGCAACTCCACGGAAAAGATGTATACTGAATGCAATAGTGTCCGTGTGGGCGCGTGCGCTGTGTGGTGTTACAGGCGCCTGGGTTAGCGTGTGTCGACATGCGGGGGGGGGATGGTAGAACATATACTCTGCTCTCTGGATATATAGTCATTAGATATATTCGTATAATACATCGATTTTAAGGCATATATGTACGAAATGATCACAGTATTGACGTGTTTCGGTTTCGTTTCTTTGGAGTTTAGGCCACGAACAAACCACAGCCATGTAGGAAATGTCACCTTGTACGTAGATTTGCAGGCATCAGTTTGTGCGCTGGAAAATTTTACCGTTAAGATGTACTTCGTGTAACAATATACCCATGAATTTGCATTGATGATATGAGAACAAGGTGATATTTGGTTAAACAAGAGTTTTTACTGCATTCGGATTTCTTTACATTAAAACATAACACCTAGTGCAATATTACGGAAAATTATTATTTAAATATCATAAATATTAGTTTGTTTTGCAATACGGGAAATGCTTAAATAAATTCGTAACAGTAGTAACTTCATTCATTTAATAACACGATTCTTTAACCAACAGAAAATCATGCTATAGAATGTGCGCGCAGTTTACTATATATAGTTATAATATAAGAAAGAATTCAATAATGTCTAAAGCAGGAGTATATTGCATTGCAGGACCACCTTATCTTCAATACGGGTCATAAATATTTTATAAGATTTCCGACGACAATCTAAGATTGATTCAGCGTGGCCATTCATTATACGTTTCACCGATACGTCGATCTTGTTGATACTGCTTAAATATTTTATAGCATACTTCAAATTAAAGTAAAGCCACCGTGTAACAGCAGATGTGATTAAAAACAGTTGTCCTTCTCTGTATATATAGACACGCTGTCATTCGGGGCTAACCCTGCCACTCCGACCACGACTAGCGCAGTGAAACCATTTAAACCTGAGTAACCAAGTCCAGACGTTAAATAGCCGGTCTGCCGTGCAGGTATAGCTAGAGTTATATCGATACTTCAACGAGATCCTTTAGCCTATACTCGCTTATCCACGGGAGTGAAATGCCACTTCGTTAACGTTAATAAAGCAGCCAAAGCCAAAGAAAGGTTCCGTGTTCTTTTAGGTGCCACGCTGAATGGGTAAATAAACGTCACACATCAGGCTGAAGAAACCCGAAAACACGTAGACGTTGGATTTCAGCAAAGTGCAATTCGTGTAAAAAAACGTTTCGACTAACCACTGAGCTGAGTAGCGAGATTAACAGAACTTGTCTTTAGAACTCGCTATTAGAAAAGGAAATTGCAGGCAAGTTCGCCATTTCATACATGCATTTAATTTAATAGATAATTTTACTATAGTGACATAAGTAATAAAATACTTTATTTATACTATATTAAACTATACAATACGTTGCTACATCGCGGAGCCACTAATATCGATCTTTAATTTCTATTTTCTTGTGGAAATATTCCGCCTTAATCATTTGTATTGAATATTAATTAGTCGTGATATAATTTTGCAGTTATGCCACTCAGGGACCCATTTGCAACATGGCATTGAACACAGCATGGCGCCACACTCTATGTTAACAAGAAGCCATCGCACAGCCTATTTATTCCTTACGCCGCACTTAGATGGAGTATATGGTGCCGCAGCCAATACTCTGGCGCCAAGTGATGGCGTTTCATGAGTTAGTGATTGTTGTAGTTATCTGTAAACTTATTGGATCTTTTCTCAGTGCTTTTAGCGGCGTGTAGGCAAATCTGTTATAGGTATCTGAGCACACACTGTAATTGCCAGACGAGCACAGCTTCCCTATAAAACTTGCACATAAGACATATTGTCGTCTCTCAACCATCACATTAATGTTTTCTAAAGCTGGGTTTACGCTGCCAACTTTGCGTTGGCGAATTGCCGAATTGTACCAACTTCGCAACTTCGCAACTTCGCAACTTTGCAACTGATCATCGGCAGTGTAAACGCAAAAGTTGCGCGTCCAACCGATCGATAGCAACTAGTTGGAAGATTAGAACATGTTCTAATTTCGCCAACTCGGAGTTGGCGTGTTGGACGT